ATATTGCCTCTTACTGGCTGACACAGACAAAACCAGACCAGAGTAAGGAAGGACACCAGAGACTGAAGACACAAAGAGAAAGATGGAAACATGTTTAAGTGGGGGAAAAAAAAATCTCCTCCAACTGTATTTGGACAAAACTGGGATTATTCAGGGGGAAGAAAAGCTTGAATGACTTCAGTCTGTCCTTCTCTGTTTTGCCGCATGCACTTCCCTCTCTCTCGGCCTCTCGCTCTGTCTCTCTCTTCCTCCCTTTCCCTCCTCTGCTCTCCCTCTTTTTGTCTTCCCCTTTATCTCACAGACAAAGCATTGGTTGCTTGTTTTTTTTTTTGGGCAGGGTCACCTTGAGGCAAAGAGTGAAGAGTTGGTCTGTGCGTTTGAGCGTATCTGCATGGGAATGTGTGGGAGAAAAGTGTGTACATACGGCACATATCTGATTATCTGTATTTATGTATAGACATATCCTGGGGTTGCATAAGTTCTATTTTGTTTTCCTATTCTGTAAGTCACATGGAGAGCAAACTGAAGCTTGCTTTGGCTGAAAATAAAGACAAAGATTTCTCTAAAAAAAGTGTTAAAAAAAAACAAAAAACTGTGGTCAGAGATAATACAGTTTAATATGAAGTCTTACAAAAGTCACTGAAAAAAATTCATAAATACAGTTGTTTCATGTTGCATTGGCATCACTTTAGTTTACAAAACAAGTACATACGTTCATGTTCCCCACTTATATACACAGTGTATAAATACTATAATAAAGAATAAGCTGAACCTAAGATTGAACCTCAGGGGACACCGTCTCCCTGATGTAATCATGGTTCTGTGAACCAAAATACAGTTGACATTTTAAATCCTTAATGATAAGAAAACTTGAGGTTCTCCATATGTGAAGAATCGATAAAGTCTGTCTGTCCGGTTTCACGTGGTTAATGTACAAATAACACTACTCTGATCGTAATTTGAAATCTTTATAAATTGTACAGAACACAAAACATGTAGAGAATATAAATATATTTTAATATATCTGAAGCACTTTACAGACAGGCCTTTTGACTTAACATAAATATGTGAATGAATTTCTCGAGGGGTTTTGTGGAATTTTGACCTTATTCTTCACTGTCTGAGTCACAAGTGAAATTGTTCTTGTCGGAATATCCGTAGAAAACAAAAACTTTGTCGAACAATAAAAAAGCATCTGGCCTCCAGTCTAGGTATTGTAGAGTTCTTATTTTGTGTTTCAACATATTCCAGTTGCTGCAGGACTAAACACGTTTCACTCAAGATGCTCTGACGCACTCCTGCAGAGTCCAAGTCCAGTTCCCATCATCGTGTATCATCACACTGCCTGTACATCGAGGCATAAACAATCAAAACAAACTTCTGTCGGGACTTTCCCACAGCGATGGTGAAATCTCCAACCACGGTTTTGTTTTCAGGGTCGTTTGACTCCTCTGAATACAGAAATTTACCTCAAAAGCACAGCTGGAGATAAGGCTCAGTCACACAGAGTTCCCACATCTCACCAGTGTGATGAAACGAAGGTGTGGCCTGACAGTACGAAAGATGTAGAAACCTTCAGTAAAGTGACGCACAAAAAAATCAGAGAATCCAGCAGAACACGAGTTCACGTTTCTTTTTTCAGTCTTCGTTTCTCTTTCACGTTGCTGAAAAATAACACATCAGTTCCATTTCTTGCTGCAGCTTCATGACAGGCAGGAGAAGCTACCTGGTTCTTGACTTCATGTAAACTTGTTGCCTCCTTCATACAGTATCTCTGGTTGTGATCCTTTGCTTTCTGGACCTTCCTTCCATTTGCCAAGTGTCTGTGATCCTTTCTCAGCTCACAGGAAGTCCCAGAGTTGTTTTAAACACAGCAAAGGCGTTAAGAATCGACTCTCTACTCCACCTTCCAGATGGCAATCTTTCCGTCGTGTTTGCCGGCTCCACTGAGGACGTAGCGATCCTCGGCCGAGCAGAGCGCCGTCACCTTGTCGGTGTGGCCGTGGAGCTCCTTCAGGACCTGGTAGCGCTCCGTGTCCAGGATGTAAATCTTCCCTTTGGTTGAGCTGCGGCCCGCACCGCCCACCCACACCTGGAGAGAGAAAACGGGCGGTTAATGTGTTGCTGTTTCATGTCGCTGCCACAGCTGTAATCCATCGGTAGATGATTTGAAAAAAACAGTTTGATGAAAGGTTGATATGAAGAAGAAGAAGAGGCTACAGCTGGCAGCTAGTTAGCATTAGGCATGAAAACTGAAGGAAAGGGCCAATTTGACTGAATAAAAACCAGCACCTCTAAATTCACTCGCTATATTTTATTTTTTAGGTTTGTTGTTTCCCTTGATTTCAAATCTCAATACCATGTTAAACTGCCTGGTTGTGGGCCCCAGCTGCACAATAGATACGAGTCATCACATCTCTTATCAGATTTTTAGAACAATTTCTGCTTAACCATCTCTGAGGTTTTTAGCGCTTAAAATACGAATATACAGTCATGACTCGATAATCCGACACTAAATGTAAAACCTTCTTTTATGTCAGATAGCAAGGCTGCTGGATTGTCAAGACGGAGGTCGAGATACAAGGAGGGCTTGATGCTGGAAGGCTCATTTGTTGTTAATTATTCTTCATAGTTGTAATAATAACTAGTAGGGCTGGTCCCAATAGCACTTTCTGCTCTCTGGACATTCAGACCCAATTAATGATGAATATCCAAATATTTATACTTCCACCCCGGGGCAGCGCTCCGACAGGGCGGAAGTGGCCAGAACGCACAGGCACTACTTGGCTGCTGATGCCAGTTTAGTTAGCGGTCACACTTCTGTTTCCACCGCTGCCACCAACCGTGTGTGACGTCATCGTGTCCTCTTCTGCGCATGTGGGACACTTTTGGGTCGTATGAAGTTCACACAGCAGATCACATACAAGTCGCATTTAATTGGAAATGTGAACGAACTCGCAAAAAAAACGTATTTCACAAAAAATCCTCATTGAGCAGTAAGTCCTGCAGTGTGAACGTAGCCAATCTGTGGGATTGTTCAGTCAGATAATACGCCGTTATCCTGATTGGTGACAAAAAATGTCATGTCGGAGTCGGAATCCAAGGCTGTCTCTAAGTTAAGGCTGTTTTTTATGGGTTCCGTTTGTTTTTCCTAAAAACCTGTCAGATAGCAAGGTTTAGGATTGTTAAGGGTCGGATTATCGAGTCACGACTGTATATTAAGATATTTGTGTCATGATGAGAAGTTACAGTGAAATTTTCAGGCTTTTGTCTGCAAACCTCAAATTTCAATGTGTGAAAAACGTGCAGGTCGACGTGTAATTTTAAAGGAAAATGTAAAACAGACACCATTTAAAATATCTGTAGCTCACGATTAAAAAGTTACAAGGAAATCAGAGCTGGAATAACCCACATGAGAGTCGTATTAATCGGCTCACTTAGCTATCAGCAAAAAAACAAATAGGAATTTCCCAGTATTTTGAACTATTTCTTTGACGGTTATGTGTCTTGTGCATGTGTTTGAGTGTGGTATATTCACCTGGTTTTTGACTTTAATCATGCAGTAACATCCGGTGCAGTCTGGGAGAGTCACGCGGTGGAACGGTTTGATCGTGTCTTTAATATGCCAGATACATACCTCTCCTGAGTCCACGCAAACACTCCACAGCTCCTCCGTCTGACACAAACACAGGCAAACACATGGGGGGGAAAACTTAAAACATAATCCAATCCAAACACACACTAATGCAGAGAGGTGAAGTAAACACAACATTCAGCAAACCGAGTGTGTGCGGTACCTCGGGTAGGAGCAGTGCAGCGCTGAATGTAGCTGTGGATCCTTTAAGTTGTTCTGGCAAATTCATACGATGTTTTAAGGAACCATTCCTCCACACCTCCATTATACTGTCCCTGGAGCCTGAGGAGAGGGCGAGACAGGGAGTGTTCGTCTTCCATCGTCAGTTTCCTACTTTAATGCTGCAGTGAAAGTGTGAAACTTACAACACCAGAGCGTCGTGTTACAGCTGCTGACGGACTGCAGACGATCACAGGAGAGCCGAAAGTGCCTCTTTACCTGAGGGGTAAGAAAAATCAATTCTTGATCAATGTTTATACAGTCCAGGCTAAAGCTGTAAACTCGCTATTCATGTTTCTATTTCATGGCATTTCTGCTATTTTGAACAGGACTGTCTGCTGAAACAGAAATGCAAATACACTTAGACAATACAGAGTGTGAAAAAAGTTGGGTTTAAAATGACCTGCAGTGTGGAGACGTCCCACACCATGACGCTGCCCTCCGCACTGCAGGAATACGCCACCTTTTGGCTGAAGAACAAAGCACAGCAGAGAGATTTACTTTGATGTACATTTTTTAATCAATGATCTAGTAGTGATCTAGTAGTGAGCACAAATTCTATGCAGACTATTTGTACAGGGACAACCCAAAACCCCAAAAGAGAAAAAGACAAACCATCGAAAACAGGCAAAAACAAAGACACAAGAAAAATCATGGCTCAATCTGCAAGACATGCCCAACATAATCAGAGAGTGACACTGGTGACAAGTCCTCAAAGCAGCAAGAAACGTACAAGGCTGTAAGACTGGATGTCAAGTTCTTTTCTCTTTCCTTATCTTTATTTCCCCTTTACTCTGATGTACATGTTAACCTTTTATTAGCAGAGTGATGTACATACACTCCACTCTCTGCAGCTCAGTTAATTACAGTTTTCAAATAATGATGTTTAAGCCCAGTTTCCATCATTTATAAAAGTACAACTCAAAAAATCAATTTGCTGATTTGTCGTTTTGTTTCTGTTTCCAATAAAAACCTAATTAAAGACATTAATCGAGCACAAATAACACATAATTTAATAATTTCACCTTTCTAAATGATAAAACCTGCTGCTTTTCTCAGTTTTACATCATTACAAAGTGAAAATCTTAATTTTTTAGAGCATTATTGAGACAAAACAAACAGTTTGAGGACTTGCTGCCTAGGAATTTTTAGCAGATTCTTTATAAGCAAGAGTATTATTTACTGCATCAAATAGAGCAGATCAATAAAACTAAAGAGAAAATCATTGTTAAAAACACAGATTATAGAATACCTTTATGACATTTGATCCCTTGAGTAAGTTTTTTATATCAGTACATTAACATGCTTACATCAGGTATTGTTGGAATGGTTGGCTGCAGTATAAAATAGGCTGTGCAGTGACTCTGACTGTTGACTGTAAATACATTTATTTGTCCAAATGCACAGTTCCACCATACATACACATTGTCGTATCTACTGATTCCTAAAAAGCCCCACCTGTTTAAATGCTGCATGTCAGATTCTGGTGAATGTACTTTTTATTGTGGCCGTCACTGTCAGGAGTAAATAAATCTGTCAGTGAGTGAAGTCGGTGTTACCTGTACTTGTCCGTGTCGAGTGCCAGTCCGGTGACCTCGGCCCTGTGCTCAGTCAGCTGTCTGTTACACACCATGGCCACCATGCTGATGATGTAGATCACAGAGTCCTCCGAGCCCATCCACACCTGATCCTTGTCGACTCCCATCATGCAGTTCTGAAAATGCAGACACCACTGATCAGGAGTCACGTCATAAAGAACTGGGGACTAGGGCTAAATATAGAAACATGAGGGCTCTGTTGTTGGTTGAATAGGTTATTTTGGACGGGAGCCACAGAGAGGTTGAGGGAGGAACAGCTTACATGCAGCGTAAGTTCTAACATTTCCAGTTGCGTAATTATCTCCTATCATCTCAATTATCTCCTTCAGCACAAGATAAGTTTGTGTAATAAATGTAATTGCTACTTATGCTAAGTAAAGCACCCATTGGAATAGTTTATTTAACTGACAAATATAAACTGGCAGCTATTTTGATAATTAACAAACAGCTATGGTTATTTGTTGGCTTTAGCTCAACTGTGAGCATCTGTTGCCTTTCTTTGTCTCATGTGATGGTGTACGCATTGATGGGCTAGTCAGACAAAACAACACACTTAAAGACATTTCTGTGGTTCTAGGAAACTGGAATTAATATTATGTGGCCGTGGCAGAGAGAACTTGATGCACTACAACTTGGGAAAACAGACATGCAGAGCCATCACGGTATCTGATCTTCACTACACAATTATCGTGACCAAAAGAAATGATGATAACAACATTCTTACAATATCTATAGAAAATAAAAAAACTAAAATAACCGTAACTGTCCTGTATGTTGTTCCCGTGCATCAACCAAATAGTTATAGTCACTTGATAATGTATGATGTTATTGTATGTGTATTATTAACATCCATCCATCCATCCATCATCTATACAACGCTTAATCCTCACTAGGATCGCGGGGGGCTGGAGTCTATCCCAGCTGACTCAGGGTGAAGGCAGGTTCACCTGGACAGGTAAAAAGTCTATTACAGGGCTACACTTAGAGACAGACAAACAAGCACACTCACATTCACACCTACGGACAATTTAGAATCACCAATTAACCTCAACATGTTTTTGGACTGTGTGGGAGGAAGCCGGAGAACCCGGAAAGAACCCACGCTGCACGGGGAGAACATGGAGACTCCACGCAGAAAGATCCCGGATGTCCTCACCGGGACGTGAAAAGGCGATCTTCTTGTTCGTCTTGGTGCTAACCACCGAGATACCTTGCAGCCCTGTTATTAACATGATATCAATATTTCATTTTTTAATGATCACTGCTATAATCAACAGTGGTATAACATGACAACCCTGCACATCTGCTTGTTTTTCTCGAAAGGTGCAGTGCAATACACTCTTTTTGTTTTGTTTGCATCGTTGCCTCACAGCTAGAAGGTCGCCGGTTCGCGTCCCGGTGAGGACACCCCGGCTCTTTCTGCGTGGAGTCTCCATGTTCTCCCCGTGCAGCGTGGGTTCTCTCCAGGTTCTCCGGCTTCCTCCCACACAGTTCAAAAGCATGTTGAGGTTAATTGGTGATTCTAAATTGTTCGTAGGTGTGAATGTGAGTGTCTTGGTTGTCTGTCTCTAAGTGTAGCCCTGTGATAGACTGGTTACCTGTCCAGGGTGTCCCCTGAGTCAGCTGGGAATAGACTCCAGCCCCCCATTATCCTAGTGAGGATTAAGCAGTGTATAGATAATGGATGGATGTTACGTATCAAACAGTGACCTTGTTAACTGAGACAATAACTGATATTAGTATGAGTAGTCATTACAGCCTTCAAGAAATCTGGATTTATCTATCATGAAAGTAAGTATGCACAGCGATGAGCGTTCATTTCAGCTTGCGTTATACTCACAATGTTGGAAGTTTACTGTCAGAGGCAACGAAATAAATAATACCAATAACCCCCACTAGGTGGCAAACCTGCTCTAATAAACTGCTTGCACAAGCTGCTCTTACAGATTCAAACTTTACCAATAGACATCTAAGTGTAAACACTGCAGACACTTGTTGTCAATAAACCTGCACCAAATCACACAGATTAAACAAAATCTATACAGCTAAACATTCACGGTTATTTCCTTATCAGCTGCTATTTTAATCAGCTGTTGGAGGTAAAACACGGTGCAAACGTTTAATGTATGACCTCGAGGTGAACTGTGAGCAAATATTGTGTTTGGGAAGAGAGAACACACACACAATCCCTCTATTTCTCTCCTTCTCTCACAAACAAACAGATAGGTTAACATTTTTCATGTGACTGTGACCTGCATGCCTGAAGTGGAGGCCAGTGATTAGCACAGTCCCAACAAGTATCTTTAAGCTTCACACTCATCCATAACGTTATCTATCATGAACCTTCTCCTCAAGGAGGTCCTTCCAACTCTCACTTTTCCATAAAAGTTGGCACAGATAATGTTTTGGTCTGAAACGACTCCAAACACATGGCACACTCCCCTGAACATGTGCATGCGAGTCTGAAGATAATACCTGCAACGTTTGAAGTCAAGCAACACTACAGGAGCAAAAAAAAAGAAATCAACCTGAAGAAAACAGTTTTATCTGTATCTGATGTCAGTGGTATGCATGAGCATCTGCTGATTCTGTTCAGCGATGAGAAGCAGTCAAGAATCTGGCCATGTGTTTTTACTTAGTGAAGGGAGATCTATGATAAACACCATGTTGACAACAGCAACACTGTGAGGAACATGCTGGGAGTGACGAAGAAAGCCAATGCTCTTGAATGCATCACTGTTTAATGTCAAATCGAGCAGCTGTGCCAGAGTTCTGTCTAAATGAAGCAGGATCACAAATTTGGGAAAATAACGTATATGTTCCTGAGCGGTTTCAAATCTGAAACTAAAGAAAAAGAAAGCAACAGATGGACTTCGCCCACATACTCTAGATCTAGCCGTAAATCTGACACTTTGGAACAAACCGAGACATGTTTGTGTAAAACTGAAACGGTTACTAAGAGGGCTTGAGAGGAATCCTCCTACTATGCAGACAGTCAAATATGACTAAGGATGACTTGCACTATTTAAAAGACAAGAGTGAAAAAAAAAAACTGGATAACTGTTAATCGGAGGAAACTATCATCATTTTTCATTTATATTTTGTTTTCAAGGCGTGACTACATCCAAATCCCTGTATAATAAACAACTCCCATCTGTGTCTAACTAATGGCCTCATCCTTCCTCTTACTATCTGCCAAGTTTAAAATGTAAACAAGGCTACGAATCTTACTATGCCAACTTTCAGTATCTAACAATGAAAGGAAATCTCAGTAGTCACCCCAACTCCAACAGAATCCCATTCCAGTGTTTATCTGTGTGTTTTTTGGCCCTTTTCAGACGTGGGATGCATTGTTCTATCAAACTGCTAAAGTGAGGGGCATTTTACACAAAGGTCGCTTTTGCGTTAACGTTCCTCTCTGCTTCAAGAAAACGATTCCCCGACAGTGAGAGAGAGCCATTATCAGTATTTACAAGTGAGATTGGACAGTGCATCAAGGTTCAAGGAGGTATAAATAAACAAAACAGTAAAGCGATGGGAGGCTTATCAACACGGAGGACGGAAAGTGACGGTGTGTACTTCTGTTTACCTCAGACAGGTGAAGCGTTGCACAGAGTCACAAGCTACAGTTTGATCATTTGCATCCTGAGCTCCATCACAGCTGTCGGGATCAATAATCTCACTGTACAAGTCTGATCCGTTTTACCAAAGTCAAAACATTTTTCTATCTTTTTTTAATGGAGATTTTTCGGTTTCACAGCAGGATATCTGCAGTTGTAGCCTAATTACTACGGATGCATTCTCTGCATATAAAACATGACCTCACTAATCACTACAGTCACTTGCAAAATCAGAATCCTTGTTGAACCTGAGTGCCTGTCTGTTAACTCAGCAGCAAGGCAGCTCAAACTTGTGTTAAAACTAATATGTAAATGTTCCTGCTGTTGCGACTTTTACAGAAAACCGGCCAGGGTGACGTGTTAAGAGATGAAGCAGTCCGATTAATCGAAAGTAGCGCACGTCTGAAAGGGGCTTTTGTGTGTCATGCATCTGCGTTTGAGAACATATTTGTGTTGGTGTGCCAATGTGTGCCTACATGCAGTGTATGTGCTTTTCTTACCAGTCTTGCATTCCCGACATGGCAGGTATGTGTGAGGGACCAGCTGGAGGCATCAAACACCATCACCTTCCCCCCGCTCACAGACACCCACAACTGGCCTGAAACACACACACACACACAGAAATTGTCCGTTGTTTCTCAACACCTTATCACAGATTTGTGGTCTACAGCTGCCAGTGTTTACTCTTTCAGGAGGCGGAGAGTGTGAACATCAGCGCTGACTGAAACTAATGAATGGCAGGATTGCATATGTGATACAGGCATGAACTGAGAGTATTAACTCATTTCTAAAACAGCCTTTAATATAAGTTTACATGGAAACAGCAAGAAGCAGGCCGTGACTTGTGCTTTGGAAACTGCTCAGGCGGTGACGATGCGCTACTTCAAATTCAAAACTATTTTTCTCCAGCCTGACTCCACCCAGGCTTCATCTAACGGTCAAATTTCCTCTCACGTATTCACCGCTATTTAAAAGCACTGCTAGCCGGGAGGGGGAAAAAAAAAGAAAGTAACATCCTGTATTTCATACGTGGAGCAGAGGAGGACAGTGGGACGCAGAGAGGAAAATCTGGATGTGAAAGAGGGAGAGAAAACGAGAGAGAGAGGTGAGGAGAGAGGGGAGTGAACTGGCTGTATGCCAGGAGCTCAATTCAGTGACCTATATTCAAACCGGCGAGTCCGAGCGGGGCTGGGAGGGAGGATCTGAATAGCTAGATTTGTTCTTTTCACCGACAGAAATCCCAATGAGCGGACTGCTACAGAAGAACTGGACTGTGTTTGTGTATGTGTAGATCAGTGAGTATGAGTGTGTTAGTGTGGGGGTCAGCCTGCCACCAGCCGGGCATCTAAGTGGCCCCAGATGGCTGTGCACTAAAGGCCACGGCTTTGTACTCCTCAAAGCTATTCCCTGGCAGCCCTCCTGCCACGTAATGCGCCAGTCTGTCTGCCCCCCATAATAAAATCTAGGGACTGTAAACAACAGTAAACAACTCCTGAGGTTTAAGGTCAGATGTGGGGTTTCCAGACAGGTGACAGATTAAAGGGAAGGTTTAGGGACGAACACCGTTGGCTCCATTATGTGGTTATTTTGTGATGAGATGTGCTGTCGAAGATGTCTTTCTAAAGTCTCTCATGGGTGTTAAAATGGGTTGGATTCGTGAAGGCTTTTACACGTGATCCTTTCATTGTCATTTTCAACAATTCACTCAGTGTCCTGGTCCCTCGGGATCAAGTCACCGACCAACAAACAATGTCTTTGGTTCATGTCCAGCCTGGGACCTTTATTACACTTCCTCTTCTTTCTCCTTCCAGGCTTACTGTCATTTATTAACTGCTGGCTGCTATTAAGACCATAAAAAGTATCGAAAGTAATGTCATAATCAAGTTTGGCACTGATTTGTACATTTAATGTCAGTAACAAGTCTCCCAGTTAGCTCACCTTAATTTGTTAAACAACTGTATTATTTATTGAACAGATTCTGACGATTTGAGGGAAATGTTGGAACACACGTTGGATTTCAAAAACATTATGAAGTACCTTATAAAAACTCGTCAAAGTATTTTTTCCTCTGTGCCTAAATCTACTATCATACTTTTTTTTACACCTCAGTAGATTGTGACAAACTTTTTTTGGCTGTGCATTTATAATTTTAAAATACTAAAACTTAATATATTTGTTAGCAAATGATGATTCTGTAAACAACCAACTACAGAAGAGGCTCAAAGTGGCTTCACATGCTTTGAGAATTGTGTTTTTAAAGCTTTTTTTTCTCAAAATCACATTATTTCAGCATTTTAGACAAACTGCTCAATGCTGAATTTGGCTACTTCTGTATATATTTTTTTCCAATTCTAATCTGGAAAAGCTTCTCCTTGCTTTTACTTTCTTGTGCAGTCAGCAAAGTTGATGCAGCTTTGGAATTTCAGTGCAAAAAAAGAGGTCAAAATTTTACTCACTGTACAGATTAATTCATTATTTAAAATGCAATCATCGCCCTTGTCTTGTGCTTTTAAATTCTTTCACTGTTACCACTTAAAAGAATAAACTGTACAAGTCTTTTCATACAATGACCTCAACGACAGGTTTCTAGCTTCTAAACTTCTGTTTCCTCCTGTAGTTTTTTCTGGAAGCGACAGACAGAGGAGGAAGTGTGGTTGAGCAACTTTATGTGCTGCTTCATGCCTTTTATGCTTGAGTGAGGCAGAGTGAGTGAGGGAGAGGTGATGACAAACCAAAGGTTGTCTTTATGTGTAGCAGTAAATGTATATGTCAGTGAGTGTGTGTCAGTATCAGAGTTAAAACTCCACATAGTGAAACTGCTCTGCTGCTACAAACATCCAATCAAATCACCGACTCCAACGCTGACGAATCAGAGCAGAGAAGAACCCGGCACTTGTCACCACAGTGCTACCAGGAATGCTGGAAAGGCCGCCTAGTTACAAGACACATCCAGGAGCTTCGTGATTGTACCTGGTGTGTACAGAAGTACGTCCACAGCTTGAGGTGCAGCGAGTTCCAACGAAGGGTTAATTTTGTGTTTTAGTGTCTCTGCCGTTGTCTTGGGAACCATCATCGGGACTAGAGACACAGAAAAAAAGAAGTAACTAACCTTCACCAGCTGGTAAATGCACAAATACACATTGAAATATCAATAAAAAATCTCCACACCACCTCCGATGAGGCTTGAAGTCTTTTTTTAGCGTGCAAACAACATCAAACAGGTCAAATAAATAAGTCAGAAAATGCAAACCGACACTAACTGAATGCTGACAGGCAGAGCAGCAATAATCTACCTTCCATCTTGATGCGATCAAAGTGAGCCAGCTTAGAGGCAGCGTAGATGGCCTTGTTGCTCTGAAGGCTGCCCACCACAGCATCCATTAACAAGGCATTGGTCAGAGCCTGCTGCATGTACTGTGGGTCCTGGAGAGACAGAGTGGTTCATATAAACACAGAAAAGATACTGTGGCATGTTAGCTGGCAATAAAGACAGACGAGAATTAAGCCCTGTTTAAGTTGAATGTTATAGTAATAACTTCTTTTTGTGGAGATCTTAATTGAGTTTTTCTTTTAGTCGAGGAGGAGGTTCAATCCATGTCGAAGAAAGTGGATAGAAAAAATTTTATATTTGGACCTGATGGTGACACTAAGTAAAAAGTCAACAGGTCACTTTCTTTGACAGTACAACATTTCATGGCAATCCATCCGACAGTGGTAGACACATTTTCGCAATAACCAATGGAACATGCTAGTGGTGCTTGAACAAAATCAGAGGAAAGTATTTAAAATTCATACACTGGGGAACATAAATGTCTGTGAAAACATGGCAATATATCAAATAGTGACACAGATATTTCAAAGCGATGGACTGATCAGCTTGTGTGCGCTGCAGCAGAAGACGTGAGGGCCAAAAAAACTGATTAAAAACATATGATGCAATTTTCTTTCAAATTCAATAAACCTTATTTTACTTATTTTCTACATTAATCAGCGTATTTTGTCTATAAATTTGATGAAAAGAAGAAAACTGAAAGATATTTAGTTTATTATAATGAAGACAAGAAGCTGGAAATGTCAAATTTTAGTATTTTGTGGTTGAAAAATTGTTTAAACAATCAGTTATTAAGCCACGTGTTTCAGAAAATGTAATAAAAATAGCCACTTTCAAACTGTTGTGTCGAAGCAGGTATACAGTGCTGCATTTTCAAAAGTTAACTGTAAAAATTAATTATTTTCTAATCTAATTAGGCCTTAAAAATGCACAGGCTGTATCCTCTGGTGTATAATTAACACCAAACATTTTGCTGCCAGTGCAGACGGCCATTAGGGGGAACTTAAAATGCAGTAAAATGAAAGGAAGAGATGCAAAGAAGTAACAGTTACATCACTTGGTTTCACAAAGGAAACCCTCTGTCTTTGTTCTCGAGCGTGTATTTATGTTCATGTGCGCCTCATGGAATTTCTACCACACCCACAAAGGTCACGGACGTTCACACAAGGACTGGCACACACAGACTCACGCACACAGTAGCTGATACCAAGATAAAGGCAAGGTATGAGGAATGAAGTCACCAAATGAGCTTTCTTTCACATGTATTTATTAAATATCTTCCCTTCCTCTACCCTGAAATTATCATGCACAACCCGTTCAGGTCACAGCTTTACCTTGTGTTGGTCGGCTATGTTGCGTCCGGCCCACATCTCTTTGACCATCAGATTCCAAAGCTCAGTCTCTGTTTTCAAATTAGCCTCGAATGCCTCCTTCCTTCCCCGGACACGCAGCTTCAGGCTGGGGATTCGCAGGAGCAGGAAGGGAGCGGAGGACACTTTCACCTCCTACAAACATAGCATCAACTTGAGATCGTTATCACCGCATTTTCAGCTACGATTTCTTATTATTCAGGAACAATTTTACTTCATTAATTAGGATAACTGCTCACGACTCTACCACTGCCTTTCCTTTCATCTCACCTCTAAATCTCGGTACTGTGCCACCTCCACATATCCCGGCCGTCCGTCGGTCAGCAGGAAGAGCCGTCGTTGAGTCATGGCGATCTTCCCCACGCCGCGGCTCGTCTTGACCGACGAGGACAGCTTGAAGACGTACTCGGTGGCCTCGATATGCTCCAACACAGATGCTGGCAGACACACCTTGAAATCAGAAAAATGCAAAAAATCTGTTCAGGGCGGTAATTTCATTCGATTCACCTTACGCTGAGAAAGTGGCAATGATGTGGGTAGCTAGTTTAGAATTATCAGTGCAACATTAAAAGCAAAAGAAGCCCCAAAATCAAACTGAATTGGCAGCTGCTTGTGATATTAATCATTCATTTTTCAGTTTAAAACTCTGAATAAATCTGACTTAAGGTTACAGCACTGGAACAGAACAGTTTCTATTCATGGATCGTTATAGGGTTTATTTGAAATGATGTTCAGCTTTCTCAAACTGAAACTCAAAACTAACAACACTCATCACTGTCATAGCTGTCTCACTACCAGATTTAGTATCTATTCTCACAAGGTATAATTCCAAACAGCAGCAACATGAATGCATTCATGTTTTTTGATGCCATCTTCACACCAGTGAGGGGTGTGACGTGAAAACGGCTTTAAAAGGTGCATACAGTGTGTAGAGTACAGACCTCTTGTGCTTCAGCCTCAGTCTCCTTCCAGATGGTGTAAAACACTCTGAACAAGTCCGGACTAACCTGCTTCTGATGACCTGCAACAAACACACGGTGTATTTTAATCTTATTTTACCCAGAAATGGCTGACTGAGCAACCTTGTTAGCTGCTTCACACGCTCTCTCACAAACACATACAGATGTCTAGGAGCTGACTGAACTCTTTCTTTCTTTCCAAGCTGTCTAATCTGTCAGCATGACTACAGAGTGAGCAGTTGCAGGCTGTTGTTCTTAGTTTATTAAAACAATGGCTGTGCCTGTGTGCGCCCCCACACTGAAGCAATACCCCACAGAGACATAGCCCTCTATTATCAGCCAGCGAAGAGTTGCAAAGTCACAATTACACCTTGAAAGAGAAAGACTTAACAAAAAATGTAGAATTTCAACTTTATGGATTGCAGGAAACATTCTTTTTCTCATCAAACAAATTCCAACAACTGTCGGTCCATCCACCTTTACAATACGCATCTCCTATTCACGTGACTATCATAACTTAGAGATGGTAATACATTTCTGTTATAACTTTAAACATACAAAGAGGGATGCCTTAGTTGTACTGCTGCAGTACAACACTCTGAGCAACTTTCTCCAGTACAGTTCAGAAGTGGAAAGAAAAACTTGACGTTTGCTTGTCATAACACCCAACAGGATGTAAAAGGCCTTTTCCTAATAGCCTAATGTGGAGTGAAAGATAAGCTCTCACTACAAACCTTCTTCCTGCTTTCAAGCTGGTAATTTCAGCTAAAATGTCAGTTTCTGATAAAAAAAAAAAAAAAATAGTTCAGCTCCATCTCTCCCCATTTGCTTCCTCGCCTAAGTTCTTAGTTTAAATGAAAAATAAACAGTCTTAGCTTTATTACCTAAATATGTTTCCCTTGCTTTCCTGGCAACATGATGAACAACTGGACCAGGAGACTGACAGGAACGATGTCGAGCCACTGCAGCTCTCACACTGACACTGCTACTTGCAGCATATGAACTGAAGCTAACTTGTATGTGCTATTCAGTTTGTTTCCGAGGGAGAACGTCTGCAGAATGTGTAAAATCAAAATAATACCAATGTTTACAAAAGGTCAAATGGCAGCAAATAGCCAGGGAAGCCTTAAATACACCCACAAGGCTGCAGAACAAACTCCTCAAGAAGAAGGGAGGTAATGATTAACCCAAGGAATAAATGTTTGCCTGGAAGGAGAGAGGAGGAGGGATTTAAAGGAAATATTCATGTGCATGAGTGTGTGTGTAAATCCAACACTGTGGAGTTTGTAAGAAGCAGTTTGAGGAAACAGTACATTTACACACACTAACTTACCCACAGTAAGAGCGTCAAACAGCCTGTGAATGGCTCCTTGGTCTTTCACAATGCCAGACTCCTGGACGCATTTCACAAACTCCTCAAGCTGCATGTATTTTTTCGGCAGCTGGAAGCGCTTTACGGCATCTTCCTCGCGTCCGTTGCCGTGGTGCGCACGTTCCAGCTCCTGGTCCCTCTTGACCCGACTGATAAGCCGTTTGAGCTCCGGTCGCTTGTCCGCCTGTGAAGAGGGATTTCGACATTTAGTAATACGGCGCTGCTAATCATTATGATAAACATGATCAGTTACCGGCATCTTGGGTTTCACATCCTGTTACGGCTCTGAGATTGTAAAATGAGTCACTGGCGATCATTGTCAAGTGCATGTCTCTGTCAGAAGGTATGCACTGTGTTGAACAAATCACCGTGGTAATGTCACATACTTAAACACCTTATACAGCGTCGCTACGGTAATGGATGTAATTAACTACAGTGCATACAGGTCCTCACTTTATCATAACGTGAACTGACCTGTAAGCGTTCAACATCTGGCAGGGAGTCAACCAAGGACTTGACCATCTGAGAAGGGAAGATATCGGAGTCGGTCTTGTAAAGACTCTGGAAGTCCTCTAGTGCATCCAGACGCCTGTTGGACACAGTGTTGACCAAACCACGTAGGTAGTGATACCTGGACAGAGAGATGAATGGATGAGTTCAGCGTGTCACACAGTGCAAAGCAGAATTCATAGTCTGGATGTCAGTTTGTTTATTTTGGATGTTCGTAATCTCTCTGGCTGAATGATCTTAACAGAAAACTAGGTTATATTTTTGAGATTTTAGCTTTCTTTCTCCTCTCTGCAGAGTACCTGGCCAGCAGAGCAGACTCATCAGGCGGTGTAGCATTAATAGCCTTCCCTAGTGAAGCGACCATGTCAGAATAATAGTTCTGGACGTAATGATAGGCCAACGGAGGTGGAAACTCTGGAAGGCGAAAAACCTTCACAGCTTTCTGAGGAAGCTTCAACCCTGGAAAGGAGACAAAATAAATCAGAAAATGCTGCTTCATTAAATGACTTGCCCCTTTTCCTTCTGTGGTACTGACCGGTATCCGGAGTCATCTTCCTGATGGAGCCCGGTCTGCTGGAGCTGATGACGATCGTAGTGTCACTGGCAGGTTGCTCCAGATTGGGCAGACTGGCTCCCAGTCTCTTGCTCAGTCGGTGGTCAGGGCTGGTGTAGCTGCTGTAGCCAGTCCTGGACAGTTCGGACATTGGAGGACGCCGAGGAGTTTCAGTCATTGCACGATTCCTGCAAAAAAGTGGATCAGGAGACACATTTTGAGATTATGGTTGGTGCTGATAGTAAGGAAGAAAGGGGCTAAATCAGGTGGAAGAAAACTACAGTCTTCGTCACTATTGATTGATATACAGGCTAGCAATGTTTCTCAGAGGAGATGCTATCTAATCAATTTTATTTCATATGTGCAACAGCAGTAAGGACATTACTGAGGCGATAAATCCTAACTGATCTTGTCTTACAGCTTGTCTTACTCAAGTCATTAAATATTTTGAATGCTCTTATCACACAGAGGTTTTTTCCTTTTTCACAGGTCACCTTGGTGCCACATTTATTTTCCTATCCTATGTGTGTTTCTTGCTTTCTCAACACACAGAGATGGAAATTCATAAACACTAAACACAGTGTTAGGAATGATATCAACAATTACTGCAATAATCTGCCAATTCATTCTCCTCATACAATCCCAAATGCCCAATTTAAGGTCACAGAGCCCAAGCTGATAAGTCTTGTGCTATTTGGTCAAAACCCAAAAATATTCGGTTTACTGTGATAGAGGACATATTTTAAAACTGCAAATATTCACACCTGGGAAGCTCAAACCAGAAACTTTAAGCATTTCTGGAACAAAAAAGTCACAATTAGTTACATAATTAATTATCAAAGGTGGGGTCTCGATCTATCCAGCTCTATCCGGTTTAACGAGAATAGCAGCTTAAGATAATGTCCTCGTCTGTCCTCTCACTACTGCTGAAAGGTCTTATGTGAAGTGTAAGAAATCAGAATACTCACAAAATGTGTTACCAAATTTGTTATTAATAAAGTCAAGTTAAATCAGTTTTAAACGTGTAAAAAGTACTGTTCTTTTACACTTTCCATATTGTTGCCTGGTTACTTCTGTCCTTTTGCTATGACATCATGCCAGCATCATACCTGGGTGCATGGTTACGCATGTTCTGCTCCATGCGGCTGAAGGTGTCCCGTTTCCTGTTGAGCCTGTCTCGCAAGAACGAGTGGAAGATATGAGTCTCTAGTACCTGGGACGACAACAGAGAGAAGCATGTAAGCGCAGACAGTCAGGGCTTGTGTGTTTGTGGAAGCCGGCATGTGGGTCTTTGGAAGCGTGTTTGTGTACCTTCTTGTAAAACGACTGGTCTGCTGGCTCCCTCGTTCTGAGGAACTCCTCACTGTTAAAAACTCTGTGTTCATGGTTTAGGAAGTCCTGGACCCCTCTGACAAAGTGACACACAAAGTAGAGAGGCAGAATAATTAGACTCAGAAACTGGTCTAAAAACACGTTAACGTACTACACACCTCGACATAGTGGCCAGTTTATTTCCAGGACATCAGCAGCGTCCTACCTGAAGATGTTGACCACCAGCTCCAGGGCAATGTTTTGTATCTGTGAGTGGAGTCGTCTCTGCCAATCTCTGCGCTGGGATCGCAGGGCATTCACATCGGTGCCTGCACCGACGTGACACAGTTCCAAGTCGTAGTGAAGCTGGAGACACTCTGCCCTGGACACAAGTAAATAAGAATCATGTGTTCCAGTATTAACTTAAATGGCTTGCATTTAATTTAAACTTAATTCACTTGAACAGCAATTATTACGCCATTTACAATGAAGGCCAATTTTCTGTTTTGTTTTGGTTTTTTGCAGTGGGATTCTGTAGAATTATTGTCCTCATTTCGTTAAAAGAAACTTTGTTTGCTTTCTTAATTAAATTTTTTTGTATATATTTTACCCTTTCTTGCTTGTAACTGCTATTTCTGCCATATGCACAATGTCTGTATGAGTTTATATACATGTATTTTATATGCATGTTTCAAGAACACGAAGAAACAATTTCAGAAACTACTGCTTACAATGGGAATGACATCAATAAAAAAGTTTTTTTTTAAAAAACTAAAAAAAAAACTGAGTTCCCTTTGTAATTTGATTTAGCTGGTATTTAGGGGGCGGATTTAACTTAAGTTCCGAGTCTGCTCCAGTATAGATTCAAGCTGAAAGGGAAAATGATTTATAGTTAGCAGAAATTCTGCATAATATGTTGGAATGCTAAAGTGTTTCTGACCAAGAGTGTATTGAACTGTCACAACATGACTCAAACAGAAAACTTTTAGATTGTGTTATATATATATGTGTGTGTGTGTGTGTGTGTGTGTGTGTGTGTTACCTTGACATGAAACTCTCTGCTGCAGCCAGAGGGATGGCAGGCAGATCGATGGTTTCGGACCATGACGACTGAATGATGCCATCATCAACATTCACAAGGATTAGGTCCTCTGTCTCCTATAAACGAACATAAACACGCGTATATTGGAGGTACAATGGGTACAATTCATGACAACGCAGTCAAACAAAGAAGGGCTCAGTGTGACGAACAGACAGCGACTGTAAAATATGTGAACTCGGCTTCTGTAAAACTCTGAATAAAGATGAATGCAGTGGAGAATAGTGGGCATTGTTAAACACTGTATGTGAGCTCAACCAAGAAAACTACAGCATGACAAGTTGAAAGACAATCTGAATTATGCACTTCACATTTTAACTTGTTGTACATCTGATCTGGGGGGAGTTGTGCTCCATCTAAGAAAAGGACAAGACATTATCTGCCAGAGTAGCCTCAATATTTGCCTATTTAGTAACTCTACTGGCTCTGAACATTACTGTGTACAACAGTCCATTTCTGTCAAATAAACAACACAAGACTTGATGTCTACTAAAAGCAAAAACCAACACTGCTCCTATCGTTTTGGACAAGAAAGGCTTCCAGGATTCACTGGATTTGTCAACATGACTTTACCTCAAACAAAGCTGCAGTCCTTGAGAAATACAAAAGCAAAGCCTATTGTTTGAATGCCTGTAATGATACTGGGGTACTCACTGCAGCAACCTCTTCAAAATGACTAATGTGACAGCCCATCAGGAACGCCGTAGGAGCCATGAGGAAGTCCAACATTCCTCTCGCCAAGACAGGAACATAAGGCTGCTGCCAGGACAGAGGCTGAAAGAGATGTCAGAGGAACACAAGACAGATTTAAAAGAAAAAAGAAAAACGAATAAAGTTTAAGAATATTTCAACAAGGATGAAAAAAAAACACGAACCTGCAGGTACAACAGCAGACTCTCTGCAACCAGAGTGAGTCTGGCCCAGTCAGATGAGAAGAAGACCAGTCTCTGTTCTTGGAGGAGGCAGGACAGCAACTGGAGAGGGAAAAGCCTCCAAATTCTTACATTTTTCTTTTACAGAATGCATTTCTCACCACTTCATCTTGTTTTTATGTGCTATATGCAACTGTAGTTTGTGTGTTCTGCATCACCTGAAGCAGTGTTGTGTGTGAGAAACAGAGGAAAGGTAGATGAAGGTCGATGTCAATTACAGGGCTGTCCTGGTCCGCCCTGGACGGAAGAACCACTTGGAGAGGACGGAGACTGAAGGACTAACACACAGAAACATATTTTGCACTGAGCATCCATCAGAGAGAGGACAGGGTGGAGTGATTTGACAGGGGAGTGAAAACAAAAAGAGTGTTTTCTGACCACATGCAGCTGTCCCGGAGGCGGTAAGGGAACCAGGGACAGCTTGGCAGAAAACTCCTTGATGGTCTCCTCAAAGTCGGCATGTCTTGCAGGCTGCAACTGGACCAGGAGACTGGGAGTGTGGAGGTGGGAGGTCAAGGAGGAGATATGGAAGTTGAATTTGGAAGGATTATGTAAAAACACATTGCAGGTCAGGCTAGCAGCTATAGGATGTGTTAAAAGGAAATTATTACCATGACAAGGAGTCCCTCAGAGCATTGTAGTAGGGGAACTTAGAGATGATGCACACAGCAAAAGGTGTGTAAAGACGGGACTTAGTCGAGTTCCATCTGTGGCCATTCTGGACAACGCCTTCCTGACCGGACTGAGAGAGCACACAGCTAAAGAGAAACAACTGCCTCCATTCATTCCACGTTTGTGTGAGAGTGTGTGTGTCAGTACCTGTACAGCTCTGTAGCACTGCACAACGACTCCATGGGTCCGGTTGCCAAACAGGTCAGTGAAAACCAGGAAGTGGTAGCTGTCTTCTCTCTGTTCATTGGCTAACTGAAGACCACCTAGTCAGAGGAAACCAAGAAGTTTTGAAATATGCCACTAAGCAGCTGTAGTGTCACAATCATGGCATGTAAGCAATGCTCACATTCAAATCATCACAACAGTGGTTGGGAAACTGACCCTCTGTGTGTGTGGAGCGTTACTGTTTTCTCCAAATCTTATTCTGCGCTACATCAAAGATCAGAGATCATCTGCAGGTTGTTGCAGTGAATTCCATCTTTCAGCCGCTGGATGCTATGATCGCCTGCTAGCTTTTCTTTTAAAACTGCACTACTGTGGCCTTCGCTTCAACTCACAGATGCAAGTTTCGCTTTGTGATATTTTGTGTACAACAATTGTTTTCCCTGTTTGTCTAATTAGATGCAACAGAGAATATCAAAGTCTATCGTTTTGGATTTTAATTTGGAGTTTTAATGTCCTTTATGAACATGATTGGTGTTATTGTATTCTGGTAATGGCACTGGCTTTTATCTCCTAACTTGCGGGGCTCTGTCTATTTCCTGCCATCACACAGCATCATCTCCTCTCATTTGAAGTGCCAGCTGTAAACACTGTGGATTTCCCAATGTCTGAACAAAACCATATGGGGTATCGGCTCACTCTTGGTTTTGTGAGAGGTCAGCAGATTGTTTAATTTGGTAGGGGTGAGCCCGGAGCCCTTCTTCATTATGAAAACACTGTTGACGGTTCAGCAATAGACACACTACAAGTCCCTGCTGCTCGCTCCACGCCTATTGTTCATAGACATTCTCAGGCCTCAGTACTGGAGAGGAGCTGGAACGGGCAGCTACATGGTGGGTTTTCTTGTATTTCTTATTGTAAGAATCACCTCCAAGAGATCATGGTGTGTCACATCTTCCTCTATATTAAAAACACAATGCAGAAGCTCACCGGTTGTAGCAAAAAACCTGGGTGCTCCCAAACCATGAGCTGGTGCACCTTAATAAAAAATCTAGGCGCACGAGTGCAACCAATTTAAGTTTAGTTAATTTAAGTAAGAAGTTAGTTTGGAGTCTTGATAGTGAGGTGTCAGGACAGAAAACCATACAAAGATGCTAACTACCTTTAATAGCAATTAAAACATCAATCTCAGCATGAGAGTTGTATATTGTTAATGCACAATACTTTTAATCTTTGCACAACCAGTTCTTGAAAATGACAGAATGCTCACAAGTTGTTAGCATGGGTATTATTCCCATCTCTGTCATTTACGACATCACAGCATTAGATGCTTCATCTAACTGTCAGTGATTCATATCTAATCCAGCACAGTGGAAAACGGCGACAATACAGAAGTGTCTCAAAACAAAGAGACGGAGCGAGCAGGGTGAAGCTGTCACGGCTGCCAGCGGAAATGGCATTCAGCAGAAACTCTGTCCAAAAGTTTCTGACGAAGAAGATTATAATGTCCCTTCCTGCTGCACTGGAGCATTTGGATTGGGCTGAAGCAGGCCTCTGGTCACAGTAAGAGGTGTTTTGCCATTTTGCGGTGTTGTTTACATATAAATGGAAAAGTTGTAACCATGAAAACAGCTAGGTTATCATTACAATAAAAGCCATATGATTAAAGGGTAAGAAGGCAGTGTAGGTCGGCCACCAGTGGGAGGTTTTGATGAGTAATTCACATTGTGGACCTCTAACGAGACACTGATGCACGGATGTCGCTCTTGAGCAACATGACAATAAATCACAACTGAGAAATGGGACTTCAGTTTTCTGGTGCCAGCCTGGCACGATGGTGGTCCACAATGGTTAGCACAGTGCAATAAGACAGGGCTTCATCACAACATGGCATCTTCTCGTTAGAAAAGACAGTCAAAGCTTGGACCTGTCATTTCGACAAACAAAAGGATCCCAGCCAAGCACAACCAGATTCAGCAGCTGCCTAAAAACATGACGCTCTTACCAAGACTGATGCATTTACAGAACACATAGATGTGTGATTTACTTTATAACACTGTAATGTTAAGTTTGTCACAGAGGTAAACACACTATACCAGGGAAACAGAGCTGCGGCAAAGCGATTAAATCCAGATCCTTTGGAACACTGATGTCCTCTGTCGCTGACGACACTTCAGCACGACTGGATGCTTCTCCATTAGACAGTGTGTCCGCACCACGATCTCGTCTCTTCTGCGAAAACAAGAAAAATATATGTATTTTATACCTGATTGAGTTTCATGATGATGCTGGCTAAATGTTTTCTGAAACTCCCAATCTTCTAACACACGCATTACATGGACGGTATTAGACAAACTGGTCAGAAACCACATAACTATCAAAAAACTGTTTTAAATTATTATTGTACAAAGTTAGAGTTTCAAAAAAAGAAATGGTACCTTCTTGATGAAGCTCCTCCTCCTCTGGACTCGGCTGAAAGCTGGACCAATCACCTCCCTCGAGTTGGTCTCCTTGGAAACAAAGGGCGGCGCGTGAACCTGCAGTACCTCGGCTTCCAGCAGGGGGAGTTCGTTTAACTTGCTCTGCTGATGAAGCTGCGGAAAAGTTAGCAAAAAGAAAGTGTTGTATTCATGACCCATGCGGTGTACATTCAGACCGTGCTGCTATTTATACTGCTTAGAAAATATTTTTCCTGTTCCTGGAAAGTTTTTCTTGGAATTCCAGGAATGTAGAAAGATGCCGAGAAGGTGATGTCATAATAACATATTTAACATTTCTCACCTATCAGATTTCTGGATTGGGACTAGCGGTCGTACAACACATCTTTTACCTAAATAGTATATACTGTACTTAACTATAGTTGAAAGTAATGCATTTGTTTCATAATGTTTAATGTAATTAAAATGCTGACGATAGTTGTTCATACTCCTTATACATTACAATCCATTAGCGTTTGTTAAAAATGCAGAAGAGCTAACATACAATCAAGTGATTCGGTGACTCAGATAACTCAAAAATGTTTCAGACAAACCTAAAATTATCCATAAGTAGGATTGTGTTTTCTGTTTGTATGACCGTTGTACATTGACACCATGCTGCTGGTCTGTGCTTATACGTACCTGGTGTATGTCTCGAAGCTTATCGCTGGGCGCTCCAACCACAACACATGCCTCCAGCAGTCCAGACGGGAGCTCCGCCATCACATCCAAGCACGCACACTGCCAGAAACACACACATTCATGTAAGAGGATGTCATTATAGTTCAGTTTTCTGTTTACAGTGAGGTAGTTATTTCTCATTGCAGGCATTATTGTAAATCTAAGAAGCAAATCTGAGCAGCACGTACCAACAGTAGACCAGACGATTCTGATTCCAACTTGATTTATAGATAAACTTATATGTCATGCTTTAATCTTCATAAAATTACTTATTCTACGATAGAAACCGTATCATTCATCCTTACTGTAGCGACAAAGAACCAGGGGTGAAATCTGAACACGATGGAAGAAGGAGCTGCTGCGGTAAGTGATTCAGTGATTTCATATTTTAACCATGACTAATAAAAGATTCCCAAACCAAATGTTGGTCTAAGTTACTGCTTTACATGTGTGATGAAACTAGAGCTTGAGCAATCAAACTAATAAAATTTCACACCAGCTAAATTGAAACCAGCAGAATTTTTTTTTTTTTGCAGTGCATATATTAGACAAATCTCTTCTCCCGCAACTTCCTCCAGATGCACGCTGTCACACTCATGTAGACAGAGGTTATGGTTACTGATGCAGTGAAGCAGTTTTGTCACCAGCAGAGAAAATTACTGAAACTGAACCTCGTTACACAAGATGCCATTTTGACAAGATTTTCTAAAGAAATATGCGACATAGCAATATCGATTTTTTAAAAAATGGACGTGGTTGCAGTTATTATAGGAAACAAAAAGTTGAAACTGTTGAGGTTGTGTCTCGTTTTGAACTGATTTTTTGATTACTTTTCAGAGAGTTCTATTTTTGCAGCACCCTCTTCATCATTGCACATCACTGCTCATGACGTTGAGGTTTGCAAACTCACACGATTTCTTCACCATTGTCACATAGTTTACCAAACCGTGACTTCTGTTTTTTTACTCCACAGTATCTGTCCCCTGAATCGGACATATTGTTTGTGTGTCATCAACACAGAGCACTGCTTTAAGCTCTGATCAATCAACCTGCCCACACATCTGTCTGTCTGTCTGTGTCAGCAGATTCAAGAACTCACATCTGACTTGCATTAGTTGCAGCTACGGGTTGAACCTTAACGCTGTTAAACGACCCTCTTTTTCTCAGCCTTTCGTGTCCCTCCACCTTCCTTTTGTCCTTCCTATAATCCTCTCTCTTTCTTTTTTCCTGCCTTGTTTCTTCATTATCTTTCGTTCCATACTTGTTCTGTCCTGTTGTCCTCCTTCTTTTGTTTAGTCATTTTCTCTTCTTTCTTCACCTTCGACACGCTTGCTTGCTTTCGTTCTCTCGGTCTTCGGGCCATTCCGGCCTCTGACTAACTAACCCTGCTGTGTCACGGAAAAACACACACTTAAGTCATTTATTCCCAGAAAACCTCTAATTTAGTAAACCTGGTGTTGGAAGGGACCGTGCTGGTGTTCATATGTCCAGCATTGTTCCATTTTAAGAGTTTCTTGCACATAAAGTAAGGGAATTCGTCTGAATAAAATGTGCTTTAACACATATAAAACAACACCAAATGGAAGAGCGACACTCTGCATATACCTGACAATAGCATAGTCCATACTTGGCTAGGGTGTGTATAACCCCACGCTGTGAGAGGCAGGCATCCAGACGCTGTCCAGGACTTTTAACAAACAAGTTTGGCTTCATATCTGTCAAAGATGCTTTGACGTAGCTGGCAGCGATTCCAACAAGCACATGTTGGAAAAATATTTCACAGAACTGAAGACAGCTTCAGAAATGGTTAAGAGAAAGTTCACACATGCAGATTTTTGCAGTACTCTTTCCTAAACTGCATATCAGATTTGCTGCATGGAGACTTATTGAAAGCATGATTTTTATTTCCAAGCTTCTATTTTTTGCTCAAACACTAAATTTTGACTTCCAACTGGCAACATGCATCTCACTCATTTTGCATCTTATATTCGAGTGCATGGTCTGACTTCACAACCCAGCAAAACCACAAACCCCAGAGAAGTTTTTAGTCTTTATTGGACTCCTGCGGGACACAGGAAGAAGGTAAGCTCTTAAAATAGGTGACATAGCCCTTTAATGGGCACCAGACCAAGTTTACTAGACGTAGGCTGGTTAGTCAGAAAAAAAAAAAACATTTGATGGCCTGAGCAAGCAAACAAAATAAATAAAGGTAAGCAGGTGGAAGAAAATGTGTCCTCCTTTATAAAGACAGCCTTTAAAGTTATTTATTGCCTTTTCTCAGATTGCAGCCCAGCAAGAAAAACTGCATTTTATGTAAATGCTGACACAGCCTGTCACCCCTCCAGCTCTTATATCGTCTCGGTATTTTGGGGGGTGAGTAGAAAAGTACTAAAAATGGGTTTAATGTGACTTAATATGCCAACACAGTGCCTTCCTCAACAAGTTAGGACAGAACCAACAGTTATTTCCAGGTTGTCATGTCGCTGCTGTACCGCTCACAGTGATTCAAAACGTTAGCACAACTAGCAGCCACTGACAGTAAAGTAAAGTTTTAAAAACGGCCAATGTGATAATAAAGGAGATGAGGCGTGACTCGGTTCGGACACAGACACGTTAAAATTAGACTGACCTTAAGTTACTCGCTCATTTCCACGGCGGACGGTTCAAACGAGCGGTTAGCGGCTAACGCGGCTCCGTGTTCCTCCGTCATGAAGCCGTCAAACGGTAAAAAAAAGTCTCGGCAGAGCGCTCGCTTCAGCTCCGGCTCCGACTTTAGCGGCTCACGTTGACTCAGAGGCTCCTCACACACACTCTGGTTTACCGCTGCTCCGTCCAAATCTGAGCAGACACGTTGGAGCTGCGCAGCTTTCAAAATAAAAGTCTGCTGCTGCACAGTTCAGAGAGCCGCGTTACGTTGGTTAGTGGCGCCGCCTGCTGGTGGTTCAGTGAACTGTGTCATATAGCTGTAGTATAACTAATGGACTGCATTCTCTGATATGTTTGTCATATTTTTCGTGTACTGTATTACATTTATAATATATTTAGTGCACTACATTATGATATGTTTTCATGATGTATTTAGTGTACTGTAGTTTCCATGTTTATTTATGATATATAATATTTTGTGAACTGCACCTTGTGATATATTTAGGAAATTTTAGGGTATTGTATTGAAGATAAATGTATGACATTTTTAGCGTACTGCACTTTGTAATTATATATTTAGCATATGTTTTGTGCACTGTACCTCGTGATATATTTATGATATATTTAGCATGTTTAGTGTACTGCACTTCAGGTCTATCTATCTATCTATCTATCTATCTATCTATCTATCTATCTATCTATCTATCTATCCATCTATCTACATATCTTCCTATCAAATTTTCTTTTGTTGACAAGTGCAATTGATTTGTGATCAATACATATTGGTACACAGTTGTACAGCTACACATCAACATATGCACAGTTAACAATTTTGTGGTATTCTGTTGTGTATATGTATTTGTGGGGGAGCATTGTTATATAATGCACACACATAAATACTAAACACACAGCCACCATTGCACTGACGTTGTTCTAATAACTGGGGATCCAGCTGCAGATTAGAAACAAGGATTATAAAGCTGTGATTGATGCAGATTAAGGTAGACAACAGGGTGAGCTACAAGCATTCCCGAACACGTGTAGTGTGTTGACCTCTGTTTTTTTTAGTGACACTGGCCACATTTCTCCTTGTGAAAACTATTTCCGCCCTCTTGCAAGTATCCAAGAGCAAAACATGTGTTCAGGCCAAAGCTGATGTACTGTCTCTTGTTATTAATTTATTTTCAACAAAACTATAAAATATGCAGCTCTTCAATTCCAAAGCTAAAGCTGTGATATTATTGTCATATTTTCAGTTTTATTTTCACGTCTCAGAGTCTGTATTCTGGATTGTTCTTTCTTTTGCTTTGTTCACACACTTGCTCCGTTGATAAACAGCAGAGACTACATGCAGGTAAATAAACTGTTGCATAATACAAATGAAACACACCTTTATAAATTCAGTTTAGTGAAAGAGATTGCTGAAGTGTCCGCGTGAAGGTGTGTTGTTGTGTTAGTTTAATTCATTGCACACAAAGCAATCTTTTAACCATGAAGTGAACAGGTAAAGATAATTTATGTAAACTAGCCAATTGTGAAATCAGGTGAGTCACTTCTGTTAAAATTGAAGAAGAAAAATGACAACAAAAAGTTCAACTAAATGCAATTACAACTTTGCTTCAAATAGTCTATCAACCTGTATGCTCCAATAAAAGTTCGGCTTTTGCATTTGTTCAATAAACATGATCCACTTTTAGAGTATCCTCTCTACACCAAAGTCATTTTTCACAGTTTTGATGAACTTGTTTTGACTGAATGACACCGAGCACAGCCTTGGTTTTAGATGGATGCTGTCGGTCTTGATGAAAGGAACACGCTGTGGCTCTAAAGGCAAACATCAGGCAAACAAACTGATGAATCACGTATAAATTTCTTATGGCAGTTCTGGAACTTTATTTTGTGTGTGAATTTTACTTTCTTCACTCTTGCTGTGAGTCTGTGACAATTTTTGATATTTTTTTTATTCTCAAAACTCTTCTTGGTTGATATTAAATTATGTTTTCTCACTAATATTCTGTGATTTTAAATGTATTTATTTTTAATGTCGTTTTGTGAATGGACCCCAGAAAGACTAGCAACCACCTTGTGGAAGCTAATGAGGATCCAAATAAAGAACAAAGATGCAATGTTTCTCAATTTATAGCTGCTCTTTTAAAAAAAAAAAAAAATAGTCTCACCATCTTATCTCTTCAGAGCGAGGATCATAGCAAAAAATAAATAAATAAAAAATCAAATCTCACCAGTTTATCTAAATCTGAATCTGAATCAAGTTTGCTCACACAAGCCTTGGAGCTCAGTTGCCAGTGTTTCAGTGCACTTACAGCAAAAGCAAACAGAGCTCCTGCGGTTTTTACTTCAGTGTCGGTCATATATTCAGGCATACTTCTGCACAGTTGGTAATGGCTCCGTTAAATGCCAGCGCGCCCTGCGGACAGCCGTGATCGTATAGTGGTTAGTACTCTGCGTTGTGGCCGCAGCAACCCCGGTTCGAATCCGGGTCACGGCAGCTTAACGGCGTGTTATATTGCAGATGAGTTTAACACATGTCAACCAGCTCAGTTTGTTCACAAGAAGAAGAAATTAGATAAACATTATCCTTAACTGAGTGTAATGCAGTTATAATTACAGCAAAAGCAATCAAATGCACCTTGAATTAAAAATTAATTAATTTAGGTATTTGTCAGAATTAGCTTTAATGGCCAAGTACGTACACAATATACAAGTAATTTAAATAAAAATCATGAATAAGAAATTAAAAAATGAATTAAAACAAAAAATAATTATAGAAAGATTTTAAAAAAAACATAATAATAATAACAAACAAAATAAGAAAACAAATATATACAAGAATTTACACGTCTGAGCAGAAGACATATATATACAGTGGTGCACGATAGCAGTGTAGCAGTAGTCTACAGTGTAAACTGATTAGGAATGCAGCTTTTTTTTTAAAAATTCGTAATCAATGTCGATATTTGCCTCTTTTTTTTTTTTCTATTATAAAAACACAGAATTTTAAACAATTCAAAACAAAAACTTGTAAAATCTGGATTCCTATTCTTCAACAATCTGAACTTCGAGGTGATTTTCGACGCACCTCAGCTGCCCGGAAGGAGTCTGGCTGCAGGTCGGTGCCAGCAGCGGGTCAGAGGGTCGCTGTGACTCAGCAGCAGCAGACAGCCGTGATCGTATAGTGGTTAGTACTCTGCGTTGTGGCCGCAGCAACCCCGGTTCGAATCCGGGTCACGGCAGTTTTTC